TCTTCCTTCTGTTTATCTAGGACTCTGATAACATGAATGTTATATTTTTTTGTTATGGAGCCACAGAGCCCTTAGGCTCTGTACATTTTTCCTCTCCATTTTCTTTCAGTTGTTTAGATTGGGTTATTTCTGCTCTATATTCCAGTTCACTGATTCTTTCCTCTGTCCCCTCCATTTTTCCATTGAGCCCATTTATTGAGTTTTTAAAATTTATTTATTCATTTTTCATTTCTAAAATTTCCATTTGTTATTTTTAGATCTTCTGTTTCTTTGCTGAGACTTTATATTTTTACATTTGTTTTAAGCAGGTTCATAATTGTTCCTTGAAACATTTTTATTGTAGATGCTTTAAAATCTTTGTCAGATAATTCTGATATCTCTATCATCTTGATTTTGGCTTTTTCCATTCATTTATCCTTTTTCATTCAGTGGGAGATCTTCTTGAATGGTGAGTGATCTTCAGCTGAAGCCTGGACATTTTTGTATTACGTTCTGAGATCTTGGATCCTATTTAAACCTTTTATCTGGTTTCCTGTGACATTGTTCTGTCAAGGTAAGGGGGGTGGTGGCACTTCAGTACTTCCAGGTACAAGTCCAGGTTTCCTTCTGTTGACACCTGAGAGGGAAGTCTCCTTATTATTCCTGGGTGGGGATGGGTGGCTCCCATGTGTTCTCTGACACCACAGTTGGGAGGTGGTGGCCTCATTACCACTGGGCAATGGTGAAAATGCTGACTTTCTACTAGGCCGCGTCTGACAGTGAGAAGGACAAGAGGTGCCTTGTTGTTGCCTGGTGTTTGAGAGTCAGGGATCCCCATGTCATTTTTTTTTTTTTTTGAAAAATATTTGGTAGCATGGATACATGTTCACAATACAATCTTAACTGAAAAACACAGCATATAACATTCTTTATTTATTTTCTTTTTTCTTCCTACTATAATGCATGCTTACTGTAGTAAGTCACATCACATGTTGTAGTAAGTCAGATAGTATCACCCCATAACCCAATTAATATAGTCAGTGTTAACAATTTGGTCAGTTTCCTTCACACCTTACTTCATGCTTATATAAAACGTATACACAATTATATACATATATACAATATGTTTTTAATTTTATAAATCTGTTTATAGATTTTAAAAGTACTGGGTGGAATCCAGTACTGTATGCAATCCAGTACTTTTAAAATCTATAAGTAACTTGGATGGAGTCCAAGTGACTTCTGAGAAATTGGATTAGGAAATATTTTTTTATTTTTCTGTATTTTCCAAATTATCTATATAGAACATTAAAAAAAAACACTGAGTGAAGCCATACCTGAGTTAACCAGGTATTTTTTGTTTTGTTTTGTTTTGTTTTTTTAACATCTTTATTAGAGTATAATTGCTTTACAGTGGTGTGTCAGTTTCTGCTTTATAACAAAGTGAATCAGCTATACATATACATATATCCCCATATTTCTTCCCTCTTGCATCTTCCTCCCTCCCACCCTCCCTACCCCACCCCTCTAAGTGGTCACAAAGCACCGAGCTGATCTCCCTGTGCTATGCGGCTGCTTCCCACTAGCTATCTACCTTATGTTTGGTAGTGTATATATGTCCATGCCTCTCTCTCACTTTGTCCCAGCTTACCCTTCCCCCTCCCCGTATCCTCAAGTCCATTCTCTAGTAGGTCTGTGTCTTTATTCCCGTCTTGCCCCTAGGTTCTTCTGACCATTTTCTATATATATATATATTTAGATTCCATTATATATGTGTTAGCACACGGTATTTGTTTTCCTCTTCCCCATGTCATCTTTACTGGCACCATTTGTGGGGTCCAATTACTGGCTAGCAAGCATGAAAGTCTCATCTTCCTTGAATGCTGTCAAACTGTCTAACCTCCCCAGTGCTCTTCTGGGCCTTTCTTTATACCACTGTTGGAACCCTGCTTTCATTCTGCGTTCTTATTAATTTCTGTCATTGTCATCTCTAATGTGGGGCTGTAGTACATCATATGTAATTCCTTTGTGAAATACTTGGTCATGATATAGCGCTGTGGTTTTCAGAATGTAGTCCCCGGACCAGCAGCATTAACATCACCTGGAACTTGTTAGAAATGCAAATTCTTGGCCCCAACATAGACCTACTGAATTAGGAACTCTGGAAGTGGGACCCCAAAATCTGTGTTTTACCAAGTCCTCCAGATGATTCTGATGCATGCTACATTTGAACACCACTGATGTGGAGGTTCGCATAATCCCTTGGCTCATGAGGGAGGATGCTGGAAGTCTTAATGCTCAGAGTCACCCCTCAGCAAAATTGTTAATAAATGGCCTTTGTGGACATATTTTCTTGTCTCCCCCTTGCCCTCCCTCAGGGTTGCCTTCCTTCAGGCACATCTCAAGAGACCTCTTTCTTTAGATACTTTCTTAGTTGATTAGCCAATAATTCTAGCTAGGGTATTAGCTGAAATTAGTATATTTTCAATTTAATAGATTAAAGTGAACATCCTCCAAGATGCCAAGTATTCAGTCTCTAATAGGAGGCTATTTAGATATAAGATGGGTAGAAGGGGAGGTAATGTTTTGGAGTAATGTTTGGAGGTAATGTTTTGAGATTTCTTCTGTTCTTGGTATCTCTTGGTTATGTGAACAGTTATGAATTGAGTCGAGGGAAGAAGATTCATGGTACTTCCAAGTATCAGCATGTCAGTGGTCCCAGATTTTGCTTTCAGTGACCATGGCCTTTAAGGCCTCAGAACAGACAGTGGTAAAGAAACTGGCCTTAGTATAATTTCTTAGGAGATTTTATTAGTTGAATGGTACCTGGCTGGATACCAAAAGCACTAGGGCATGGTCGTCTCTGCTTAGTTCCCCATGTGTATATTTTAAATAGGTTCATCAATAAGTTAGGGAAAATGTCCCTTTGCCCTTTGTAACTTTTCGCAGTCTTCTCCCAGTCTCAATTTCTTTCCAATACAGTTAGTCTAAGTGCTACGTATCAGGGAGGAATCACTTAAACTCCTCTATTTTTCCTGATTTAAAATTGGTTTTGGAGACAGCCTCCTGCTCTCTCCTTGCTTGTATCCTGTTTAGATTCTCTTATCCAGTATCAATAGTTTAGAAACGGTTCCCAAATCTCAATGATCCCTCATATCAATTAAAGAAAATACAAAGAGTGTTGTAAGTATTTATAGATGATCATGTGTGGTTTTCTTGTAAGATATAAGGAAATAGGTCTATGAATCACTTAATCTGTGAGGAAGATGAAGAAGAATATTAACTAGCTGTGACTCTGAATCCTTGCTGCTTTAATCAGGGACCCCAGAGTAATTGACCCCTAGATAATGAAATCCACTCTCAACTCTCTACATAAGCAATTATTTAAATAGTTAGGAGACAGAATAATAAAGCAGTTGCCCATTGCTTTTGAGGTCAATAGGTTAACTCTACAGAGTTTAATTAAAATTTGATAATAAATGCCTACTCTAGGCAGGATATTTCATTAGTCTTCATCGTGGCCTAGGTAAAATATTCCTTGTAATTATTTTCTACCCCTTTTAAATTCTCTTCTCATGAAGCAGGCTTCTTACTGCTAATTAGGATTCTCACACCGGGGAAAGAGATTCCCCAAAATCAGCCTCCTCATTAGAAAGGGATATCCACCACTGTAAAAGAATAAATTGGTATTCAACTATCTTATTTTTAAAATGTCTACACAATGAAGCCAAATTGTAAGCTTTAAACAAGTATCACTGCTCCCCATCCCCCGCTTTGGCAATAGCTATGATAAAATTTCAGTCACATTCTTTTTGATATTAAGAAATTATTTTTCTGGTTCCTGCTTAAAATATGTATGGTACTGAGAAAATTCAGGTTCCTTGGTAAGCAGAATTGTATGTAGAAGTTAGGTCAACAGGAAGATTTATCTAAAAAGTTCTGTCCTTTTTCTTGGAGAGGTATATGGTTCAGAGGAAAAAAATTTCCCCCCAGACGGAAATAAAAATCTATAACCACAAAGTAACTGGGAATGCTGTCAAGCTGTCTAACCTCCCCAGTGCTCTCCTGGGCCTTTCTTTACACCAGTGCTGGAACCCTGCTTTCATTCTGCGTTCTTGTTCATTTCTGTCACTGTCATCCCTAGTGTATCTCATTTAAAAAGCCTCCATAGTATTTCTAGGCTCTGGTCTTTCCTGTCCTCCTTCGTCCTCCACACTACTGCCAGAATTGCGTCACCTCTCCTTCTTGTGAAATTTGACCGGTTAGATACGTGTCCTAATTCCTTAGCCCTGCATGTGAGGCTGAGCCCCTCATAGTCAGGTCTCAGCTTCTATCTCTGGCCTTCTCGGATGCCCTTTGTTCATGGAGCCTCTGCTTCAACTACTCTGAAATCTCATGCTTGTTTTTGCTTCTTAGAATGACCATCTCCTTTTCTCTTTCACATGATAACTATTTACTCATCTTTTAGGAGCTAATTCCATCTCCCTTGAGAAACCTTTCTGGATTCCCCAGGTTCACATCTCACTCTATGTTATTACCACACTTTGTTTTCATGCTTCTCTCAGAGTACGCATATTATACCAGCATCTGTTTGAATTGCTATCACTTGCTGGCTTGAGCTCTTCAGAAGCAGGGATGGTTGTCATATCCTTGGTACCAGTTTCTGTACAGACACGTTCTTGATACTCAATAAAATTGGTTGACTGGAATTGAGTATACATTAGCCACCTTTGCATCCTCTTAGAGCACTTCATTTCATTTGCCTTCTATTAAAGTTGGTTCCCTGACCACATTCGTTTTTTGTCATTGTCTCTGACTGCACACAGTAGGAGCATAACAAATGTTGAATAACTGAATTAGTTCTAATAGCACTATTGAGCTTGTAATTAAGAGACACATGTATTTTTAGATGGCAAAATTCTCTGCAGATTTATTTCCTTGACATTACAATGACATGTGACAGTGACAAAGAACTTCACATTTTGTGCATTTCTTTGGTCACCTTTCAGCATTTGAATGAATTACTCTTCACTTATGACTTTTGTGTGAACCTCCCGGCTCTTCACCCGCCGCTTGTTGACCTGCGACTCGGCAGTGTCAGCCCTTTCCTCGGCCTCTTCCAGCTCGTGCTGGATCTTGTTGAATTTGGCAAGGTTGACATTGGCTTGTTCCTTCTGAGAAAAGAAATGCATTTGAGAGAACAAGAAAATTTGACATTTTCTGATTCTTACTGCCTTTGTTACTAAGAGCAGCTATAGGATTTGCTTCATGAGTGAGAAAGCAAAAGTTTCTGTTCTTTGGTGATGTAGCTATTTGGGGTGGGGCATCCCACATATTCACCTCTGTGTTGGTGGGCTTACAACCCCCTGTTCATTCTCTCTCACTTGACTCTCTTACTGACAAACTTAAGATGCTACAGTGACAACAGGGATATCAAAGTAGCAGGAATTTGAATCAACCTTGTTTCTGTGAAACAAACTTTAAAAAGTAGGCACTGTGGTAGTATTGGGTGTGGAGAACCTTAAGGAAGGTTTTAGAATTAACAGGATGAGAAAGATAACTGCAGCCAAATGGAAAAGAAATGTTCTGAGGTCGATTCATCAAGAACTTAAATAAGGCTTAGATTCAGAGTGCTCATTTACAGAGCCCCTATGGGTGCTGGGAATTGCTGGGAGTAGAGTGTTCTAGTTAGGGAGGGAGGTGGGTTGTAACCAAGAAGCATCTCTACACTGCTTTGTCTGGAAAACTGCTAGAGGTCTCAGAAGAAATGAACCTGAATCTCTAAGGATCCAATAATTAGTGGTTAAGATTTTTTTCATTCTAAATAAATACTCATTTTCAACCTAATTTTGTGTTCCCAATTTTGTGTTCTTTGCCTTAACGAAAGCCTCTTAAATTCTATGAGCTTTAGTCTCCACAAATACTGGCCCTGCTCTTGAACCTTTCTCTCTCACTGGGGAGGTACTTACAGCCTCTTCAGCTTGTCTCTTATAAGCTTTAACTTTGGTTTGTAATTTGTTCACCAAGTCCTGTAGCCTGAGGACATTCTTGCGGTCCTCCTCAGTCTGGAATGAAAGAGGTAGCAAATAGTGTAATTGTTTGAAAACAGCTCATTTTTATTTTCTTGAAAGCAGTAGGCTTGAATTGTATGGAAAGGCTGGTCACCTAGTAAGTAAGTTCCTTCACTCTTCTCTCATGTTTCCGAAGACCCTTGGCAGCCTCAACATTGCGCTTCTGTTCATTTTCAGCCTCATTTTCAAGCTCCCTCACCTGGAAGAGGACAAAGGTGTTTAGCCACTTGGCTGTAACTAGCAGCATGAACAGGCTGGGAATTGAACAGGCTGGGAGACGCACCCTGGCCTCCAGCTTCTGGATCTGCTTCTTCCCGCCCTTCAGGGCCAGCTGCTCAGCCTCGTCCAGGCGGTGCTGCAGGTCCTTCACCGTCTGCTCCAGGTTCTTCTTCATGCGCTCCAGGTGGGCGCTGGCGTCCTGCTCCTTCTTCAGCTCCTCGGCCATCATGGCCGCCTGGTTCCAGTAAAACAAAACCGGTAGAGAGAGCTGAGACAGCGCAGCAAGCTTCTAACTTGACCACCCCCGTGTGGCCCTCTGCTCACGTCCGTGATGGCCTTCTTGGCCTTCTCTTCTGCATTGCGCGATTCTTGAATTACTTCTTCCACTTCACTCTGGAGTTGTGAAACATCACTTTCCAATTTTTTCTTGGTGTTGATCAGGCTGGTGTTCTGTTAAAAGCAGTGGAAATTTACAAGACCTGCAGTTTGCACACTTGGGATTTTACAAATGTATTACTCGTTGGCTTATGCAGGGGACCTAATGGCAACATTTCACTGAACTTTACATATTTGTTCAGTGCAAAATGTTAATCATTTGCAAGGTTGGTTCCCCCCGCCCCGCCACTGCCCCAATGTCCATCTGATTCATGCATAAGGACGTGGAGGTTCAAGAATGTCTATATTAGTTAATTGCTCTTTCAATTGTATGTCAACCAGACATCGCTAGTGTTCTGTCCTTAAAAGGTTGGAAATATTAGAAAAGAGTAGATTCTTTTTGTGAGAGCCTGGAACCGAGAGTTTCTCAGTTAGAAGGAATCTATTCTCTGTTAACTTGAATGGTTTGCTCCCTTGGGGAATACTGAATGACTCTTATGAAAACATTTTCTTAAAACTTCAACCCAGTGGTTCTCTAAGGGAAGCAATATCACCTCAGTGGGTATTTGGAAATGTATGGGGTGGATATTTTTGGTTGTCAGAATAACTAGGGCGTGCTACTGCATTTAACGCCCAGGCTGGTCAGTGATGCTCAGTGTCCTGCAAGGCACGGGGACTGTAGACATAGCAGTGCTGAACGCTGAAGTGCTCCTCATGAGAAACACTCTGTGGAACATTTTCAGATTTTGGAGTCAGCCGATACCTTTATTCAAGTTTATTCCACACCATGGTTTTCAAAATAATCTAGAGTCAAATCTTATTTTTAAATAAAAAAGTAATACCCCTGCCCCGTTTTGGTAGAAAATCTTAAAAAGAACACACAGCAAAAAATCATCCATAATTGCATCACTTCAAGGTAATTGCAATTAGTATTTTAAAGCATCTCCCCCATCCTTTTAAATATACACGTATTTATAAAAGTAGAGTACTTCCATATTATAATTCTGAGTTGTCACTTTACAGTACACCAGCGTTTGTTTGATGTGAGGGTCTCACCTGGGTGTGCAGGAGCTGGACGCGCTCGCTGGCGTCCAGGAGCTCCTGCTCCGCTGTCTTCCTGCTCCTCTCTGTCTGCTCCAGGGTGGCCCGCAGCTCCTCGATCTCGGCCTGCAGCAGGTTGGCTCTGCGCTCCACGATCGCCAGCTGCTCCTTCAGGTCCTCCTGGCCCCGGAGAGCATCATCCAGGTGGAGCTGGGTATCCTGTTAAGTTAATAAAAAGGCTTAGACCCCCTGAAGAGGATGTGAACATCCCAGGAGATGAACTGGAAGAATGGGTTGGTGCCAGAAACGGGAAATTACAGGCCTGTCATTTGAATGAGCATGAAAACGGGGATGTCACCTGCTTAGGTGAGAGAGAATTATCAGGAGACTGATTCTTGTTGTGTTTTATGCCATCAACTGGTTATTTTTCATGTGCGAGTCACCAGTATCTATAATCTATGGAGCGTTTTCCATATGCTGTACCCAGCACTTGACATCTGTCTTCTCACTTCATCCTCACAAGTAACCCTATGAGGTGGGTAGTTTCATTCTTAATTTGTCGAAGAAACAGAGGTTCTGAGAGGTTATAATAACTTGCCTAAAATCAGGCAGCTAGTAAGTGACAAAACTAAGACTCAACCTCAGGCCTGTTGGTGCCAGAGTCTTTTAATTTCTCTCGTATCATAGCTTATCTCTGGGCTTCTGTTTGTTCTTTTATATGACGTTTCTTTAAAAATAATATATTTCGGGGCTCCCTGGTGGCGCAGTGGTTGAGAGTCCGCCTGCTGATGCAGGGGACACGGGTCCGTGCCCCGGTCCGGGAGGATCCCACACGCCGCAGAGCGGCTGCGCCCGTGAGCCATGGCCGCTGAGCCTGCGCGTCCGGAACCTGTGCTCCGCAACGGGAGAGGCTACAGCAGTGAGAGGTCCGCGTACCACACACACACACAAAAAAAAAAAAAAGAAAAAGCCGTAGGAGCAGAGACACAGATGGTATTTGACCCAGGAAAAAAATAATAAACAAGATTCTAACACATCCATAGACAATTAACAAATTGAAAATGTAATATCTCTAAGAATTAAGACATTTTTATAGGGTTGAAAAATGTAATTGCAGGCTTTTACTTTTGGGAGATGGAGATGAAAATTTACAGAGGCTCTTTTCACATTTAAAATACATCTTGTTGAAATGTGGTGTTGGGTAAAAGAGAATTCACTATACTATGCTCTCTAATTTTATATAGGTTTGAAAATCCCATGAAAATTATAAAAATTTTTTAAATGAAACATAACTAAATAAATAGCACTAAGATTAACAAGGATTTCTCATTCATTTACCATGTTTATAACTCAATTTCTATTGTTTCATTTTTCAGAAATATCTCTATTTCTACAAACAGAATTACTGAGAGGTTATATAGTCCAGCAACAGTGAAATTCCTTCGTAAAGGAGAGGAAAACAAATTTAAAAAGAAAACTTAGAAGGAAGAAATTAAAAGTGACCAGGGGTGACTAATCACAGGCTACAGGAATTGCTGGGAGTGAGTTGTTTCATTTAAAGCTCCAAAATATGTCAAAATTTTGCAGTCTGCATCTATGGGACAGACTCTATGATACAGAATGGGCACCGAAACCAATTGCATGGAATGGAAAACTCTGCCGTTTAAAGTTAATCTATTCACTGCAAAATTTAGCAGGTCTATTCAAGTAAATAGGCTCCAAAGTGAAAAGTAGCACAATCAGAGGTTTTAAACCTGTTCTAGTTTAATAGGTCAGAATTTCAAGTTTGATTAAATTTTTCACTCCCCTGTTGCCTGATTTCTGTTCAGCCTAGACTAATTACTTACAGGACCTTGCTAATTGGAATGACTAGCAAAGACAATTTGTCATGTGGCTCATTTTTCTTAATGTTTTCAATATTTAGTGTTCATGTTTATAAAGTTATAGTAAATTAGATTAGTAGTCACAAAAGTCAACATAGAGTTCCCAAAATTTAGCATTTCAAGGTCATCATTGACCCTCCAATCTTCAATAAGCCATTTGAGATTATGTTACTAAATTCTTGTAATTATGTTTGTAATTGTAACTTGGCTATAGAAAAGTTTTTCTCTGTGGGGATTACAGGTAAATTGCTCTTTCTTGGCATTCTTTTTGCCCAGGAAGTGAGGAAAGCTCAAGTAATTCTTCCTTTAAATTGAGATACCCCTTGAGGTGGCAAAATCTTAACAATGTGGGCATAGCAATCAGCGGGGAAAAAATGACCAATAAGCGATGTTAGCCTGAAAATTTGGGAAAACATATTTCTATACAAGCCTACAACTGAAATCAGATCCCAAACTTCCCAGGTGATGCCCGCCACGTGCCCCTCAAGTACGGGGGATGGTGCCACACCATCCATCACTCCAAACTAAACATCACAATGTTCCAGGGCTCCAGAACTTGACACCCAAAGCCTAACGCCTAAAACTATTGAGATATTTATGCTGCTCGGTAATAATCCTCCTGGAAAAGCAGGTAATTGATAAGTGAATGAACTACTCAGGCAATTAATGAAATACTCACACATCAAACACTGATTTAATAAGACCATATGAATTCTGAGGCTTCACTATATGCCTGGTAATTTACACCCAGGATCCCATTTAATCCTAACAAACACTGCTGTAAAGCAGATGTTCTTATCCCCATTTTACAAGCGAGCACTCGGGACACAGAGGTATTAACTAACTTGTCCAAAGTCATAAGTGGCAGAACCAGGATTCAAACTTAGTTGTAGTAAAGGCTGTTGGGGCCTTGTTGATATCCTCTTAATCCTATCGTTGACATCCAACTTCCAACCCACAACTGCATTTCTTTTCCTGATGATTTCTCCTCCCTCTGTTCCCTGCTTTACCAGCTCTTGACTCAGGCCAGAATTGCCTGGGAAATAACTCCCCTCTGGATCAGCTTTCGACCAACAACGAACGGGAATTGGTATACAAATACCCTAGCTCTCTCACTCTTGTGGGGAATAACACTGACTCCCAGGTTTCCCTAGTGGGATCAAACTTGTTTCCCATAGTGATAACTTACTTGATAGCATACCCTTCATTGGATACCTTTACTATCCAAAACTGTGCCCCCCGCCAACCAGGGTTTCCTGGGATCCCCTTGCAAATAAACTACTTGTCTCAGAGTCTACTTCAGAACTAACCTAAACTAAGACACAAGGTCTGTCTGATTCTAAATCCTTATGATGCTTTCACTTTTCAACACTGGGAATATGGCAGTTCAGGAGAGAGACAAATGTCCAAGATCTGACATATTGTTAATAATGAAGAAAACTGGGTGTTTTATATATATATATATATAAGCCTTTCTCATTGGATAGTAGGCTGCTTAATGCATCAACTTGATCTGTTACACACTTGCACCCCTCCAGTCTGGCACATCACCATTGGATGCAAAGTATGTGTCACTTTGTATTTTATACACTTGGGTGGGGAAAAAAAGTCAGCATCCCCTTTCCTCCTTGATCACTTCTAGGCCTTTTGCTTCTGATACTACATACTTTATCAGAGAGGTCATTATGCCCACAGGTTAGGAGACCATCCTTTCATTCCAGGATGTGAATACTTAGGCTTCCCTGTTAGCCCTCTAGATTAGGAACTCAATAAATATGTGTTAGAGTTGAATATGAAATAGAAGCTGAGATTAATCAAAGAGAGATAATCTGGGGGCAAAAAGTATTAGAGCTATAGTAGCCTCACAGAGCAGACACTGAGAACCCTTTGCCCAAAGATGAGTCTAATTTAGGCCATATTTTTAGATGAAACTTCGTGAATTTAATTGTGAATCTACTCCGTGCTCTTTACTGTGTTCAGCCTTAAAGACTTGGAGGCACACATTACACAGGATCTGGCTCTTGGAGCCTGTATTCCATTGGCAGAGGCAGATTACAAACCAACATTGATGAGAAGTACATCATGACAAGTACAGGAATAGTGAGTGTTCAAAGAGCTGTGTGACTGGTAGAGGGTGGAATGCATTCTGTGTGGAGTTTTAGGGGTAGCAGAAAAGTCTGGAAGGCTTTACAGAAGATGACAGTTGAGTTGGATTTTGAAAGACTGAAAAGGAATTTATTAACAGAAAAGATGGAGTAGTGGGGATAGTTTTGAGGAGAGAGGCTTAACACAACATTTTGGCTCTGGACAAGGAAAAAATGATTTCCTCTTAAAAGTCAAAATGCTTAGAAATATAAAGTTATAAAATATTAAAGTTATACAGTCCCACCTTGGAACGTTGGGGAAAAAATAACAATAGCTAACAATTCCATAGTGTTTACTCTGCCAGATTCCGGTCTATGTTTTTTACATTTAAGAGCTCATTAAATTTTCTCACACCAACCTTATGTAACAAATATTACTATTATGCCGTTACAGATGGAAAATTAAGGTACAGAGAGGTTAAGAACATTGCTCAAAGTCACACAGCTATTAAGTAAAGCCAAATAATCTGGCAGTAGAGTCTTTGCTCTGAATTAGTACACTATAATGCCCTTAACAGTAAAGGTGAATTAGGACTAACAGTTAGAAATAACTAGAGAAACTTGAAATAGATAATAACCGAAGTGAGTAGCGTTTTTGTGTAAAATTTGTCTTTTACATATGATTTACACTCTTATATGGCCTCCCAGTACAGCCTCTTGAAGGCAGTATAGTACATGGTTAATCGATTCCTGGCATCAGCCAGATGAGAACTTGGGTCCCTGGCAGCTCTGCTACTTACTACCTCAGGGACCTGGGTCCCTTTTCCTAAGTTCTGGAGACATGCACTTCTCCATCTGCCAAATAAGGATAAGAGGAGTCCTCATCTCAGAAGGATGCTTTGAAGATTAAATGTGCTAATGTATATGCTGAACTTAGCACAGAATCTTACACAGAGTAAGTGAATAATAAATGTCAGCTCTTAATAACAGTTGTAGAATTTAATAACTTTACTGTTTATTTTACAAAGCTGATGAAATGGGCTGTGTAAGAGTTAACCTAGCACAGGAAGAGAATGCCAGAGAAATAAAAGAGCATTGCGGTTGGGGGTGTAAACCCCCCTCTGCTCCTGGAACCCCCTCTTCTCCTAGCTGCAGTACCAAATCTTCCAACTGGTACCATAGTATTTAAAAAAAAAAAAAAAAAAGTCACCACTGGATTCTTAAAATATTTTTAGAGTGAATAAATTTATGTCAAGTGTGAGTAGAAACTGATGGCCCCAACTCTATGGAACATGGTAGGATTCGGGTATGACGGGTGTATAATCTCCCAAAAGTGCTCATTGTTGGAACTCATTCATTTATCCCAATGATACTTGACACTGACAAAGTAGATTTTGAAATAATCTTAACAAATTATATCCAGCATTCAAAGAAAATGAAATAAAATGGAATATATTAGAATACAACATTTTAGATCAGTGCTATAAACTGCCTATAAACAGTGTTTAACGCCAGAGAGCAATGAGAGTTCTTACAGGTTATTAACTATGCTCATGTGAAGACAGTATTGGGCACCTTGGACTTGGACACGGCCTCCGCGTTGCTGGCGAGGTCGTCGATCTCCATCTTCAGCTCGCTCTTCTCCTGCTCCAGCTTCTGCTTGACCCTCTGCAGGTTGTCGATCTGCTCCCCCAGCTCGGCCACACTGTCCGCGTGTTTCTTCCTCAGCGTGGCCGCCGTGGCCTCGTGCTGCAGGGTGGCCTCCTCCAGGTCCCGGCGCATTTTCTGGAACTCGGCCTCCCGCTTCTTGTTCATCTCAATCTGGGCCGAAGTGGCCCCGCCGGCCTCCTCCAGCCGCTCGCTGATCTCTTCCAGCTCCCGGGAGAGGTCCGCGCGCTGCTTCTCCGCTTTGGCGCGGGAGGCCCGCTCTGCCTCGACCTCCTCCTCCAGCTCCTCGGTGCGGGCCTGGCCGTGGGGAAAAGCTCAGTTTTAGCCTTTTTATGTCATAACTGTGCCTCTTTGAGCCAGACTGATGGAAATATGAACTTACTTGCAGCTCTTTGATCTTCTTCTGCAGTTGAATGCCAAGTGCTTGTTCATCTTCAATCTTGCTTTGCAAATTGCTGATTTCAAACTCTTTCCTTTAGACAGAAGAACAAGGCATATTAGTACCCATAAGAATTGAAAGATGATGTCGCATAGAATTTTTTTTCTGGAGTTCCTACTTTTTAAGTTTCTCATCAAGTTGCTGTTTGTCATTCTCTATATCTACTATAGATTCTTGGGCCAATTTTAGGTCACCCTCCAGTTTCCTCTTGGCTCTTTCTAGATCCATTCGAAGTTTCTTTTCTTGTTCTAGAGACCCTTCAAGCTAATGAGAAAATAAACTTTGTTAAAAATTTAAAGTATATTAAAAAAGCCTTTCGGATGGATATTAAAAACACACATCATCCACTTGCTGCTCTAGCTTGGCTTTAGCTTTGGTCAGGGTGTTCACTTTGTCCTCTTCTGCCTGTAGGTCATCCAGGGTCTGCTGGTGGGCCTCCTGGAGGGCCGCCTTCTCCTTGGTCAGCTTAGCTATGACTTCGTCCAGGCCTGCCATCTCTTCTGTGAGGTTTTTCACCTAGGAAGGTTAAGGAAGAGATTATCTCTGCTCTAAAGCAGCTTAGTTGATGGCAGAGTCTCTATACGCTGTATACAAATATATTTCATACCTTGTTCTCTGTGGCATGTTTCTCCTTCTCAACCTTGGCCAGTGTCAGCTCAAGGTCATCTATGTCTTTCTTCAGTTCCGAACATTCGTCCTCCAGTTTCCTCTTCTTGGCCGTCAGCTCAGCATTGATCTCTTCCTCATCCTCAGCTCTCTCAGTCGCCTCCTTGATCTTTGCCTCCAGCTGGATTTTGGTTTTGATCAGCTGCTCACACCTTTCCTCTGCATCAGCCAAGCTGGCTGTTTCCTGAGAAGGGACAGTAGACACTTTTAGATCTTGTTCTGTGGACATTTTCAGATTTTATTAAGATTTTGAAACCAAACAAATAAATTGTGCTTTAAAGCTTTAGGTTAATTTTTATTAGCTTTCCATCATTTAGGAAATATTTATTGGGCACTCCACTTATGGCACTGGCGATTTTTAAAAAAGGAATTTGTCATAATTCCTGATGAATTTATAAGAAAATTATACTTATTAATGATGGGGTTCAGGATACACTATGCCAAAGTATGGTACCTTGGCATAAGGAATATCTTAAGCTAAAGGGGTTTGAGAAAAGAGCAGAAATAGGAAAAGCCCATCCCGACCCATTCCCGTCACCCTTCTTCCCTGAAACAGGTCATAAAACTTCCATGTGGAAGGTCCCCTCCCTGTACTGGGAGGAAAGAAGACATTCTTATCACAGGAGGTGGGGAATTTAGGACTGAGAAGGCTGTATAAACAAACCTTGTTAAACTAACCCTTATCTTCCTAGTTATTTCTTCATCACTTACTCCCCCAGTCCAGACCCCTTTGTCTTGTCAGTTCTTCACATATTTATCATTTCTTTGTCTAAAGGGTATAAAAGCTCCATGCTCTGGTCACTTCTTTAGGTCTTTATTCTCTTGTGAAGGCTCCCATGTACACAAAAAAATTAAATAAAATTTATTTGTTTTTCTCCTGTCAATCTTCTTTGTCAGTTTAATTTTCAGACCCAGCCAAGGAACCCTAAGAGGGTCAAGGAAAGTTTTTTACTCCCCTGCATGATAACCTGTGTTTAATGTGTTGGTATATAACTTCAGTTAGTTTTCTTTATTTAATATTATTTTACAGAAAAGTTTAGTATATGAAAAGCAAAGAAAATGGGTATTTAGCAGAAAAGTGAATTAAAGGGAAGACACATGCTACAGTGACAGAGTGGGTGGAATTAATGGGAGCATGTGGAAGAACTAAGGGGAACGGAACATTTTAGAAGGTGGTGCTAGAGAAATAGCAAGCGTGTTTCTCAGGAGAAGAAATAGGAGTTGGAATATAAACCCTCTGAGGGCAGGGACTGTGTCTCTTGCTCAGGGTTGTATCCCTAATGCTTGGAACTTCATGAAATATTTATTAAATGGGTAGCTGATAGAATAATGTTGAAAAGAAGTCATATTATTCTGAGAAGAGTATACTTAGATCAGTTATACTGATTATACTTGGATCATATTGTACTGAGAGAAATTAACTTCCATACAATTATTTCTTGATTCTTGACGGTGTGATGAACCCCTCTTCAATTTGGAAAACCGTTGTCTCCATAAACCACAAGGAAAGTCACAGTGCCAGCCTAGGTATTTATAATTCATTTTTCTTTAATTTTTCTAGTTATGTGTCTAAAACCTGTGTGCCCACTGGAACCAGTGCAGATTCCCTTCTAAATTCAGAGAACTAGAGAGTAGCTTTTAATGTTTCTGTTGTTGATTTCAGTGGTGGCAGCTGAAATTTTCTTGTCATTTGGGTCACAGAAATGGGTTAGATAGTGGTGTTGATCAAATATTTCTTCTCAAGCCTCTGGATATTTCTTGGGACATCAAAACAAGAACATCAGTACTATCTCTCATGCTTTGCCTAATTGACACTATTTATAGAAAGTATTGCCATTATCTTTGCAATGATCTTATTCTTTCAGGTCCTAGAGACTTTCTAAAGATATAGTTGAGAGGGGAATTGCCAGGGGACCATAGATTTTAAAATTCAGAATATGGGTTTCAAGTTGATACATTCTCATCATAAAGTCTCCTCGCTCTTCACTGTCAACATTGTTCTTTCTTCACTGCTCTTATTTGCATTTTTCAGCAGGGAGAATCTTAGGGAACAAAGATCACTTTCTTTTACTGCCCATATTTTGCTAGGAGAAACAACAGGGGGAAAGGAAAAATGCTTTTATTTTTCCCTTCTCAACAGAAAGGAATCCTACCACAGAGCTTTTTAGTAATACTGTATATGAAATTTTATGGAACATTCTGAGGAGTTGTGAATTAAGAAAGATTGATAATCAGTCCCTTAATAAGGTGGAATTTAGACTCTCCCCTAGCAACTGCTGAATTGAAATTTTAGCATCAGATTGCAAGCAATGGCTTCTGACACTCACAGATTGAACCTGGAGCTGCAGGTAATTTTTCTCTGGCATCAGAGTTACTATTTTCTCTTCAAGTTCTTTCCGTCTTGCCTCTGACCTAGCTACCTCTTCTTTGGTCTTCTCAAATCCTTCGTTCATGGTGGCCCTCTCCTTCCCTGTCTCTGCACTCTTGAGGAGGGGCTTGATTTTGAAATACAGCTTCATTCAGGGCCAGTCTTTCACATTCATGAAAACACGAATATTGTACTGGATACAGAAGATGGACTCTCTGTGATAGGAACAGAAATGTTCAAAGTCAGGTATAACAGGAAACAGAATTAAAAGGCCTAGGCTGATGGGGTTTAGTAACATTTCCTATTTTACCTCCCTCCACCATCTTCTGGTACTCCACTCTTGCCAAGAACCCTCTGCACCTGGCCTGGGTTCGAGTAATCAGCTGGGCCAGCTTGTCATCTCACATCTCCTCTCGGAGCCCCAGAAGGCCAGCTTTGAAAAAGACCTGTGTGTGGGCAGAGTTGCAGATCAGAAACTTTACATAAACTCCAAAGGGACAGGCATAGTGTCTGGTGGGCCTTAGAGACTATTACCTTGGTATGAGCAAATTTACACTGGGTGTGGTCAATGTCGATGGACCCAAGGAGCTTCTCAGAAGCCTTCTTGCTGTCAATGAATTGTCCTTCAGGGATTGCACTTGCATTTAATATCTTGTATCTGTTTGAGCCAAACAAATAGATGATAGAGCTGTTGTCACCAACAAGAAATCTTCCTGCCTTATTATAGAAACAACTTAACTGTTGGGTAGTCTAACACAGATAAACAAGCGATCATATCTCTCTCTTTATCTAGTCTTGTATATTCAAAGGGTGTCAAACTTTTCGTATATCAATACGGAGTCTGTTAAATTTGTTGCTCTTCAATTTTAATAGAAGTTATAAAGGATAGGATTATTTCATTGAAAAATGAAATAACAAGGGCCTTGTAAAATAATTCACAGTGAGAAAGTCTGACCTCTGTTTGAAGTCTGCATACAGGATTCTGCTTGGGAACCCCTTCCTTCAGATGTGGATGCCCTCCAGCACACCGTTACACCTCAGCTGGTTCAGGACAAGCTCATGATCCATGGCCCCTAAAAAGAGATACATTTTCCATATAACAGTCTAATGAGAAGTTACACTAGAGCTTGTCTGGGTATCAGAAGTGTCCCCAATGAAACCAAACCAGGGGTTTTGGTTTCATTGGGGATGATGCACCGTAGAAAGTGGGGGTAAGTGCTGCTCAGCCTGGTCATCAGCTTACTCAAATTCTCCTGTGGAACCATGTGAATATTTGGTTTAAAGTACACTATTTTTGTACATTCATATTTATAGACATAATTATCATGATCCATGATACTGTTTTAATTTCAGTGATTAGTATCCAGATTCAATTTGCAGAGGGTTATCTCTGGAAATACCTCTATTTTCCCTATCTTTGTGCATTATAAACTCGCTGTTGAAGTGCTTATTCATTCCTGTTGAATTTCCTAGCATATGTTATAAAGTTATGGCATTTTAACGTATGGAAATACTCTACCCATAATCTTTTGCCTAGATAATATGGTCCGATTTACAAAAAACTCAAAATCTTCCAGCTCTCCCATTTCTTTCTTTACCCAAATTTCAATTGTATCTGCTTCTCTAGCACATGCTTATTCCTTATAATTACATAGCTGGGTCTTCCTGCTGGTTTCATAGAAAGGGGCCTTTTAATGCCTTGTTCTGCGAATTGGCAGAAAACGGACAGTCAGATTGCCAATGTGAGAGGTTTTCCACCCTATGGAAATCCTGATTTTTCAGAATAACTAGAACTTCAGTTATTACAGATAGGATTGTCAAAAGATAAGTAAATTTTCCTTAAAAAGCTATTTCTTATCACACCTGATTTCTTATTTTCTTCTTTAGATCAGCCTCCAAATCCTACCACTATTTTCCTATCCTCACCTTTCACAATCTACTCATTTCAGTTTTACGCCAGTATACACCTAAGCACCTACCCCATTTGGACGCTCCCAAAGAAAATCTCATGTTTTGCTTAATCTTCTCCCAGAAGAAGCTTTTAAGTGTCAAATGACCTTGTTTCCCAGCCCCAGTATTGAATTTTACCGTCTCATACTGACTCTGACCTGGAACCTGTGTGTCCTATATACTGAGCTATCTCTTCCAAGCTACTCCACACCTTCCTGTGAGAGTCAATGCTACCACTACCTGCTGACCTGTCTGCTGGAGCCACATTTAGTTCTGGAATACTTGCAAGGTTATTTACCCTTCCCTGCATAGTAAAGTAAAATTTAACTTCCTCAACCTAATTAGAGAGAGAAAGTGAAGTTTGTACCCTGAAGACAGCTGACACGGTCTGGAAAGAACCCTTCTTCTTGCCGCCTTTCTTTGCACCACCACCCTCTGAGGGGAAGGGAAATCACAAGCACTCATAGTACAGGCTTTTCTCTGCCTCGGTTTTATACATGAAGTAAAAGATTAATTCTGTTGATAATTACCTGCTCAGATGTTTCCTCAGAGAAAAGGAAAGCCAGCATCTTCACTGAGGACTTCTGGTACAGGCCGACCACCGTCTCGCTCGGGGCGTCCTTGTTCTCCAGCCAGCCCGAGACGCTGTAGTCCACGGTGCTGACGTAGCGCACCAGGGAGAGGTGGGCCTCAGCCCTGCCTTTAACCACCTGGGCTTCTGGAAGTTGGCAGACTTTCCGAGATGCTGGTCATACAGCTTGTCCTTGAAGGAGGTGTCTGTGGCCTTGGGGAACATGCACTCCTCTTCCAGGATGGAGAAGATGCCCATCGGCTGGACCAAGGCAGAGTGCATACGGGGTGGGGATGAGCTGCAGTGTCAAGCAGCAGGTTGGCGAGGGGCGACTGCTGAGTGCACACAGCAGGTACCTTCTCGAGGAGCTCGGTGCAGGCGGCCAGGTCCATCCCGAAGTCGATGAACTCCCACTTGATGCCCTCCTTCTTGTACTCCTCCTGCTCCAGCACGAACATGTGGTGGTTGAAGAACTGCTGCAGCTTCTCGTTGGTGAAGTTGATGCACAGCTGCTCCAGGCTGTTGAACTGGGTATTTCGAATACCAAAGAGTTTGAGTGAGTTTGGAAAATCCAGTGGAGACTCAGCAAAGCAGACACAAAGCGGAAGGGTGCTTTGAGGCTTGTCATTGATGCAAACAACTCACGTCAAAGATCTCAAAGCCAGCGATGTCCAAGACCCCAGTGAAGTGCTGCCTGGGCTGCTTGGTGTCCAGCTGCTGGTTGATGCGGGTGACCATCCACAGGAACATCTTCGCATAGACGGCGGCTTTGGCCAGAGCGCCCACTGCATTGTACACCTTCATAGACAGAGTCATGATCGTCACTGTTATTAAAGACGTGTCCTGAAGGCCTGGGAAGTGTGAGATTCACAGAGGTTGTGCCATTTCCTGCTGCACAGTCTGGCCTTTGGTGACATACTCATTGCCGACCTTGACCCTGGGGTAGCAGAGGGCTTGGAGCAGGTCAGCAGAGTTCAGACCCTGGAGAGAGGCAGCCTTGTCAGCAACTGCAGAGACACAATTCAGACATCCAACATGACCCACTATGACCCCACCGTTCCTAGAGGCAGAGTAAGGAATGCATCAATCCTATGTGGGGTTAAATTTGTATGTGGCCATCATATGCTCAGGTGCAAAGGAGACATGAGTTTGGAGTGGGCTTATTTGCCTCTATTCTCTCATTTAACCCAGATGGAGGTTCATTTGGTACCTTCGGTGCCATCTGGCTCTGCTTGCTCCTCACGCTGCTTTTGCTTAAATTGCAAGTTCCCATAATTCATTACTGCCCCCGTGAGCTTGTAGATGGACACTTTTTCATCAGAAGAGAAGCCCAGGATGTCAGTGGCACTCTACCAGGAGAGATGAGAGGGCAGAATTAGGGCACAAGACACGAAGTTATTTAGAAGAACTTATACTGTGTCCTTATTCACACCCACAGCAGGTTGTCGTTGTCATTTCCATACACAATGACTTATTTTTAAAAAACTGCATGTGTAACTCATGTCTGTGGCCACCAGCTCTTCTAGGTCATCAGTGCTAGGGACTGTGATCTCCCCTTGACTGACAAAGGCATAGTCATACGGGTTGGTGGTGATCAGGAGCATGTCTGGGTGCATAGAATTCAAGGTGTATGGTTTACATTAGAAGGTGTGCTAATAAAAACATTGGTTTCTAACTTAATAGATTTAAGCTCTTTCATACCAATTAGTTCTGGCTTCTTGTTAGACATGATCTGATAAAAAATATGGTAGCCTTTTTCTGCCTTTAGCTGGAAAGTGACTCTAGACTTCTCCAGAAGATCTGCAATGGAAAGTAGACACTGGATTAGAGGGAAAAATTGTAAAGTTCCTGGAATGATTTTGGAACTTGGGGTCATAAGCTAAATCTCACTGGCCCCATGAGATTTCAGCTAAATGGCCCCGTGGGGTATCACATATTATGTCTCTACCACTGTGGTTGCTCTTGCCATCTCTAGAAGGAAACTGAAGTTGCCTGGCTCAAGACATACTCATTTCTCATACGGAAGATTCTTGACATTTCAAGTATAATTGATTCTTGATAACCTGTTCCTCCTCAGGGTCTCTTCTCGCTTTATAACAGGGGTTACTAAGAGCAACATTTATCAAGGCTCACACTAGAAAGAAATCACATACACTAAACCCAAGTTATATACCCCCAGTCTTAGTTTTTTCTTAGAAAAATTTGAAATCTTCTGAGGCTGGCATCCTTCAGATAAGCCCAGCAACTCCTGGCAGTTTCTAGAGCACCATTGGCTCCTGACTGAAGTGGGTGAAGCACACTGTGGGCTCTGGTTAAGACTGGCATTACCCACAGGCATGTTTGACAGTGACTGGTGTTTCACAGGCTCCAGGCTCAGCAGGAGCTGTGAGATGTTCCTCCCAACCATCATTTGTCATTCTTGGATTCTATTTAGGCGATCCTATTACTCACATGTTTCAATATCAGCAGAAGCCAGTCTCCGCGTGGTACCGAAGTGGCTCCTGATGAATTTACCCTTGCAAGTGAAAAAGATGATGTTATGTACAAAACTGTTAGCACACGAGTAAGAAGAGATTGAGTTAATAACTCAGACATGCCTTTTGGGGCATTTAAGGCCTGAGAAAACCCTTCTGTGACCCAGAGACTCACAAAGCGAGAGGAGTTGTCGTTCCTCACGGTCTTGGCGTTGCCAAAGGCCTCGAGCAGGGGGTTGGCACTGATGATTTGATCTTCCAGAGTCCCCTGCAAAGGCAAGAGCAGTCCTCACACGTGGGGCTCGGGAGTTTCTTACTTGACAGCGTGCATCCTGACGTGGCAATCAGACCCACCTGCATTTTGCCACCAGTGCCTTCATCCTTCCTCTTCTCCCCAGTGACCGCAATTGTTGCAAAGTACTGGATGACGCGCTTCGTGTTCACAGTCTTCCCAGCCCCCGATTCTCCGCTGTCAAGCAGTGATCAGATATGTGTGAGAAATTAAGCTCTGTGACAAATGAAGCTGCTTCCCCCATTAGCGTTTACTCTTATGTGCCTGTCTTTATATGTCTTTGTCAGAGTCCCCTAGATCTTTCTCTTCAGGCCACATTTAGCCCATATTATTTCTGTTGCTTTGCACTGATAAGCATCTGAGACAGTCGATCATTAATCATGTAGCACTTATTTCTTGAGTGCTTACAATGTGTCAGGCTCTCTTCTCCGTGCTGAGGCCGTACTTCAGGGGTCCAAGAAGCAGCTCCTCAAGCACTGTGTAGTAAATGAAACAATTAGTAAAAAACTCTCTGAAGCAGTGCATGTGTTCTTCAGCTTCCTTACACTAAAGATATTCCCAAGTTAGGTCTTTGAAGGAATAGACATTCCTCAAGTAGGCCTTGAAAATGAACCACTGGTAACGTTCGCAAACTGCCCAAACTTCAGAAGGTGAGTGTGCTCATGGTCCGGTACTGGGTTCTGGCCATGTGTGGACATGGTGTTTTATATCTCCTAATCCCTGGAAAACTCTGGAACTTTTAAGAATGGGCTAGCAAACGATGTAATTTGCAACATTGTTATTTTATATTTGGATGCAATCTGAGCCCTATAATAAGTGATAGCAGTATTTAGTTCCAGGCTGATTATGCCATTGCTTTAGTATGTGGCATGGACTAATTTCTTCTTTTGGATTGTGATTTTCCCAGTGAAAATAAAATAGGAATAAGTCTCAGAATAATGATACATACGTGATTAAGATAGACTGATTCTCTTGATCTAGAAGAAAGACAGTGGACAGTCAGCATATCTACTAGTTACACAAACAAAACTTTCTATAGGGAAACACTGAGGGCATTGAGTGTAAGTGTCACACTCAGTGGGGTTTTTCCGTATATTATTGTAAAGTTACATGTGGTGGTGTTATTATGTCTCTCAAGTTGGGGAAGAGAAACATTACAATGTGTAGTGTTTTAAACTCCTTATGCCCCACAGGAAGTGTGTCCTTCTGGTTTAAAAGAAAGAGCAATCCTTTCCACAGACACATTCCTTAGTTGTCACCTATAGGTTCCAGTGGCCTGCTCTGTGCTAATGAATGCATATAACTGAAAAATGCGCAATATGCTAAGGATTTGGACTGTATTTCATCATTCAAAATAGTGTTAATCAGGCCAAGATTGAGATTTAGTTTCTAAATGGATCAGTTACACACACACAAACACGCACACGCACACACACACACACACATCTCTGTCTCAAGGTCCCAGACTGCAGCCCTAATTCTGATCAGCCTCCGAAAAGCATGCTATTGGGTCAAAGAAAGATCAGGTAAGAGAGGGTGCCTCAATCAGAATAAAGTCCTTTTAAGGGGGGACGGTGACAACTTCCTTTTGAACGCAGTAGTCCCCGAATACCATTTTCATTCAGAGAGAGGCTATTATCTCTGAAATGGGTTCTGATGACTTTAAAGACGTAACAATACTTCTTAAAGTATCTAATTCAAAATCAACAAGAAACTTAGGTACTAAAATGATTGAGCATATATTTTTCATTTCTATTCAGACAATACTATTCAGCTGTTAATTTAACCTTTTTTGTTACTTAAATATATAAGATCATATATGTCTAAGCAAGGAGAATGTAAACAAACTTATTAGGGTTGGAGTAGTAGCATAGCCTGGTAAAATCGTGGAGGTAGAATCAGAACTGAGTTTTAATCCCCACTTGACAATGTGTACCTCTCTGTGCTTTAGTCACCTCTTGTGTGCAACTAAGGGGTTGGATTTGAGTATTTCTAAAGGTCTTTTTAACTTTTCCATTTTGTGATTATAAGTGGTGAAATAATTTGTATGAAAAACAGTCAAGCCACTCACCAGTCAGCATGAACTGATAGGCGTTGTCAGAGGTGGAGAAGATGTGGGGCGGGGCCTCCTGGCGCTTTTTGCCTCTGTAGGCAGCCACCACCTCTGGGTTGAACACCGGCAGCCACATGTAGGGGTTGACGGTGATACAGAAGAGGCCTCAGTAGGTCTGCACCGTAAAGGAAAAAAAGGAATATAATTATTTCATGGGGACCTTCATAACATACTATTTTTCAAAATATTAACCACCTGCATGAGCAGAGGCCGTGAGAACAAACTCACGTAGATCATCCAGGCTGCGTAACGCTCCTTGAGGTTGTACAGCACTGCTGGCTCATGCAGGTGGGTCATCATGACCATGTCCTCGATCTTGTCAAATTTAGGAGGGTTCATGGGGAAGACTTGGTCTTCTTTCACAGTTACTGTCTGTCAAGTCAAGTAAGAGAAGCCAGGTCGACAAAGGAGTGTCAGCTCCCCTAACTGGCAGTGGGGCCCAGTCTAATCCCCTCCAGTTGTTTTACTCACAGCTCCAGCTTCGGTCTTGGCTGTCACCTTCCCTCCTTCTCTACTCTGCACGGTTGCTTTCACAAAGGACTCCTTAGGGTCTACCACAAAGATTGAGGACTTGGCATCAAAAGGCCTATTCTGGGCCTCCACACGCTCCTTTTCAGGCATTCGGAGGTAAGGAGAAGCCTCCCCAAAAATGGCCATCTCAGCGTCAGAACTCGTGGCTGTGGGTTATCGATGGCAGCCAAATCAAAGACACTGCCTGGCAGAGGAAGTAAAGATAATTATAGAAAATCAGCAACCGGGCCATTCGATTCATGTTAAAAAAAAAACGCATGACATTATTCCTTGACAAGTTGAGCGCTAGCATCTTTTTGGGTATGGTCAACTCCCTGGCTTGGCTGGAGGTGAAATGTCAGTCTCCGTGTTCTGTGCCAGTGGTGATAGATACTTATTCTTGCATTTGGAAAGAGACCGTTGTTTCTGGCTCATCTACTGTATGATATTGTAGCTCCTTTCTCTGTTTCGTTTGCATATTAATCTTAAGAAGCCTCCTATCATCAGCTTATACAGAACACCATGCTAAGATAACTGCAGGATTTCTCCAGCTCTTTCACTTGTAGTTCTTATCTTCCAGTGGGATTATAAGCACCTTGCAGAGAGGGAGTGTTTTCCTTCTACGGCACCCTTCACAGCTCTTAGAACACATGTTGGGTGTGGGGAAGGACCAAAGTTGGCTTTATAAATTAAAACATCAATAGAAATACGCTGCTAAAGTTAGAGGAACTATTTAGTACCTGGTGAAAACCTTTTCATTATAGATTTGGGATTTACAAGGACTACCTAATAAAGGAAAGCAGAAATGTGAGGAGCCTTGTTTTGCATTGTTTAGTTAAAAATATCCTATTTTACATCAACTTCTCTTGTTCCTGTGTCATAATTTTGACAAACTCAGTTTCTTCACCTGTCTTTAATATTTCTCAAAGGCATTATAAAATGTTATTACCTATGTTTTCTTGCTTTATTACTAGTATTCTCATAAAAATTTCAGAAAACTTTTTCTTTTCAAGATCTGTCTCCTGCCACTTTAACATTCATCAATCCTGTGAATAATGATCATAAATAACCTATTTTATAATAAAGATCCTTTTTTAACATCTCTATTGGCGTATAATTGCTTTACAATGGTGTGTTAGTTTCTGCTGTATAACAAAGTCAATCAGCTATACATATACATATATCTCAGTATCCCCTCCCTCTTGCATCTCCCTCCCACCCTCCCTATCCCACCCCTCTAGGTGGTCACAGAGCACGGAGCTGATCTCCCTGTGCTATGCGGCTGCTTCCCACCAGCTATCTATTTTACCTTTGGTAGTGTATATATGTCCATGCCACTCTCTCGCTTCGTCCCAGCTTACCCTTCCCCCTCCCCGTGTCCTCAAGTCCATTCTCTATGTCTGCATCTTTATTCCTGTCCTGCCCCTAGGTTCTTCAGAACCATTGTTTTTTTGTTTTTTTAGATTCCATATATATGTGTTAGCATACGGTATTTGTTTTCCTCTTTCTGACTTACTTCACTCTGTGTGACAGACTCTAGGTCCATCCACCTGACTACTAATAACTCAATTTCGTTTCTTTATATGGCTGAGTAATATTTCATTATATATATGTGCCACATCTTCTTTATCCATTCATCTGTCGATGGACACTTAGGTTGCTTCCATGTCCTGGCTATTGTAAATAGTGCTGCAGTGAACATTGTGGTACATATCTCTTTTTGAATTATGGTTTTCTTAGGGTATATGCCCAGTAGTGGGATTGCTGGGTCATATGGTAGTTCTATTTTTAGTTTTTTAAGGAACCTACATAACTGTTTAAAAAGATACCTTTTCAAGGAAAACTCAAAAGCACTTGGGTAATCTTCTCAACATTTTTCTATTCAAACTACAGTGATTTGGATAGCACAATTAAAATCCTTTATCTTGCTAAAAATGCTCACATTTTTCATATTATATTTTTTAAAATGTCCATTTTACAGAGTGTGAAACAATATGCAGATTTCAGCCACTTTTCCAAGGCAAGGATTCAGTCCATTCTATTAATCCATTTAGGCAGCATCTCAAGGTTTTTTATATTGTATACAGCGGTGAGTAAAAGCTGTGTATAGGAAATTTATTGATTTGGCCAAAAAGTTTGTTCAGGATTTTCCATTAAGATGTTACGGGGGCTTCCCTGGTGGCGCAGTGGTTGAGAATCTGCCTGCCAGTGCAGGGGACACGGGTTCGAGCCCTGGTCTGGGAAGATCCCACATGCCGCAGAGCAACTGGGCCCCTGAGCCACAACTACTCAGCCTGCACGTCTGGAGCCTGTGCTCCACAACAAGAGAGGCTGTGATAGTGAGAGACCCGCGCACCGCGATGAAGAGTGGCCCCCGCTTGCCGCAACTAGAGAAAGCTCTCGCACAGAAACGAAGACCCAACACAGCCAAAAATAAATAAATTAAAAAAAAAAAAGATGTTACGGAAAAAACCCGAACGAGCTTTTTGGCCAACCCATACATTTTCTCTGTAAATGAACAGCAACACTGTGAAATGCTGTATTGCATGTTGTAATTCAATTATTTAAAATACAATCTGCAATGCTGGAAATGGAAAAAATTGGTATCTAAAAACTCCTGAAGATTCTGAGAAAGCATTTCATTTATTGCAAAAGATATAAATTAATGAGAACCAGTTTCTAAAGTCTCCCTCAGAGTTTTTCAAGGGAAGCATGAGCAGCCCTGAAATTGAAATGCTTTTATTTTATAACCTCCACCCCACCCCCCACCCTGCCCCTGACCACTCTCCAAGCCACTGCAGATTTCTTGCTCCCTACGAGGAATGAGAAAAATCAGTATCTTACCTTAGAGGTGCAACCGTGAAGTGGGTCAGAACTGTAAGAAAAAGAGCAAATTTCTTCTTATTAAATGCTAACAATTCCCAATAATAGCATGAAGGATTCTGAATTAAGCAGGAAATGACTGGGAACACCAAAACATCTAATTAAAATTGCCACGTAGTTAAGTTGGTAATTCCCTGGAAGGGCTGCCATGGGCAGTGTGGGCCAGGATGTGTGGCATGCGTGCAGGCAGCCAGGCATCCCTGTTGGCCCTTCAGACAGAGGCCTGTCCTCACACTTGCTTACCTTGAAGCTTTATGAGGAGAGACAAATCATACTCATTCCAAGGGTACTTTTATAGGGTCAGATATGGAAAACAGTAGCTTCCTCCTCTTTCTTAAATCATATTTGGCAAAACGTGTTTTTGGCGATGAAGGTCTCCCAAGTATAATTCCCCTCATATTAAAGATGTTTGGATATAATTAGAAATATTTCTTCTCACGTTGGGTTAAGTGTATAAATCAATCTACTGTAAGTAATTTGAGTTGTTGGCAACCTGGAAGTGACTGCCTTTGGAATAATGTAAGGTGTTGTTTCAAAGACAGCTGTGATCTGTATTCCCTGAACTTTGTTGCCTGCTGCTCTTGTGTTTCGCTGAATTGCCCATGTGTAGTCTTTTCAACTGCCCACACAACTGCAGGTAATATACTAGGGAGGAAAGTTTCTGCTCTTTATCAGAGTCAGAAAAAGATTGTTAGTTTCTCCCAAGAAACCGTGATTTTTTCCCCCATTTATTGTACTTTTTCAAGGATGCTTGGAAATTTAATTTTAAAACTTGCTTCATGAAAAGCAGCTAAAGATAGACAGCTGCTTTGTTTCCTTCAGTGGGTCGCCTCTGATTCATTGTCAGATCATTCCACAGCTTCGCCAAGCTGGGTGGTCCTGCTTCTTTCACTTTTGTTTTTTAAATGTAAGTTGCTTGTGAAATCTCTTTTCCTCTATGAAACTCAACGTAGGAACAAACTAGAAAATGGTATTTCTCTGTCTAATTATGCAGCATCTGTGACTTCTCCATCAGTTATCCATGGTATATATTTCACATTTTGCTTATAAACAATACCTGCACGTTATTTTCTATTCTGATGTTTAATTAAAAAAAAATATGTGTTTTATTGTCTCTGTGGCCTTGTATCTCTTATGTCAGCATTGTCTATCTGGGACTGAGACAAAATGTGCTTAATTTACCCTGTATTGCAGCCATTCATGTATTATTGTACTTATATTTCAGTTGATTCAATGGAAAGAGGCTGCCTTCTGAAAGCAGATATCTGGAGACACTGTTTGTAATGGTCACAGGATTTTATTGCTGTAAGGGACTATCTAATCCATATTTTTCATTTCACTAATAAAGTAACTGAGATTCAAAGAACAGAAGAGAGTTCACAAATCACACAGCAGTGTAGACCTTGGTCGCCTGATTTGCAGTGCAGTGTGCTTGCTGGTAGCACTCTTCTACCTCAGTAGGTTAAAGCTATCAGGAAGGGTCTTCCAGGAAACATGCGTCTGAGAGGGGCTTTCCTAGTCAACTCTTAACCTGCTTTGTACCCACAGGTACATCATTTTATTTTCTTAGACACTTTCTTTATCAGGCATCTGCAAAATGTCACAGTGTTCTCAGAAAGAGAGAACATTTTAATAATGCTCTCAGTAGGATTTGCTGGGAATTTTAAGACAGCCTTTTGACTGCTCTGGATAGATTCTCCAATAAGTAGAGAATAGATGTTGGTTTTGGTTATTACGGCCAAGTTCTGAGGCACTTAAGCATTTACAGGTGACATGGGAACGCAGTGAAGGGGGCCAGTGCAGCAAGGAGCAATTCCAGTCCCTTCCTAAGGCCAATGTGAATCCAAATTATCTGTGAACCTACTTCCACACATCTAATTAAGTCATTCTCTTGTAGGACCATTTAAACCAATATACTCTTGCTTTCTATTCAGACGGGAAGTCACCATTCAGTTTTTCCTTTACGCTGTCCAGGAAGGCTATATTTTTCACTATGCATCGCAACTAAATCCACCTTAAAAAACCTTGATTCTCAGGCTTCCCTGGTGGCGCAGTGGTTAAGAATCCGCCTGACAATGCAGGGGACACGGGTTCGGGCCCTGGTCCTGGTCCGGGAAGATCCCACATGCCGCGGAGCAACTCAGCCCGTGCACCACAACTACTGAGACTGCGCTCTAGAGCCCGTGAGCCACAACTACTGAGCCCGTGCGCCACAACTACTGAGCCCACACACCTAGAGCCTGTGCTTTGCAACAAGAGAAGCCACCACGATGAGAAGTCCATGCACTGCATCGAAGAGTAGCCCCCGCTAGCTATAAGTAGAGAAAGCCTGCGTGCAGCAACGAAGACCCAACGCAGCCAAAAATAAATAAATAAAATAAAATTTTATTTAAAAAAAAACTTGATTCTCTCAGGAAGCTCCTCTGAGTAACTCAGATTGCTACCATAGCTAGTTTTTGCACCAAATTCATATCATACGTATCATTATGTGGGTTTAATATACATTTGAATAATTTATTTGGGGATCATATTTTATCGATACTTTTTTTTTTTTTTTTTTTTTTTTTTTTTTTTTGCGGTATGTGGGCCTCTCACTGTTGTGGCCTCTCCCGTTGTGGAGCACAGGCTCCGGACGCGCAGGCTCAGCGGCCATGGCTCATGGGCCCAGCCGCTCCGCGGCATGTGGGATCTTCCCGGACCGGGGCACGAACCCATGTCCCCTGCATCGGCAGGCGGACTCTCAACCACTGCGCCACCAGGGAAGCCCTATCGATACTTTTATTCATTTATTTTGGCTCTTTACCTGATTACAGGGGGCCATGAAGTCTGAAAACATACTTGCCTATTGATAATAATATATAGGATAATAGTTCCTTTGTCTCCAGACTTTATAGCCACTTTGTAGCTTTCATATGGAGAAAGGTCACATCTCACTGTTTTCATGTGGTACCTATTATCCAGTGCATATACTATGAATATATTGTATATATTACATGTATTAATGATGAAAATCTTCCTGTGCTAATAATACTACATTGAATTTGTATTAGTTATTAAGCAACGAGAATTAATGATATAGTTCAGGAGGCATCCCCTGTGTGAAAATGTAACTAGTGCCATCCTTTGTATAGACCTAGAAAATAGGTTCATGTTAGGGGAAGCAGGAGCTTTCTAAGATCCTACTATACCCCACTATTAGGGAAAGGTTAGAAATAAAAACAACTTCCGTATTTCTGTGTATCAGGACAGGCTTCCTTGATCAGTGACAACTTTATGGTCTTAAAGTATTACTATAGACCTAAAATAAAAGCAAGTACATAGTTTCTTCTTAGTGGCAGGTCAAATGTGATTGTTTGATAGTCTTGTGGTTATTCAAGTTTTTTTTTTGTTTTTTTTTTGCGGTACGCGGGCCTCTCACTGTCGTGGCCTCTCCCGTTGTGGAGCACAGGCTCCGGACGCGCAGGCTCAGCGGCCATGGCTCACGGGCCCAGCCGCTCAGCACCATGCGGGATCTTCCCAGACCGGTGCACGAACCTGTGTCCCCTGCATCGGCAGGCGGACTCTCAACCACTGCGCCACCAGGGAAGCCCAGATTATTCAAGTTTTGACATCGCTTCAGGAGAGAGAGAGAAAAGAAAAGACCAGTCTAAGGATATTGCTTGCACAGTGCCCTACGCTCTTTATTTTTGCAGTAGGGCAGGATAGACAATAATTACAGAGAGAAATGACCAAAGGCTTCACATTTTGTGCTTCTCTCCAGTCATTCCATAGCGTCAGGACATGATCACTCTTCACTTATGACTTTCGTGTGAACCTCCCGGCTCTTCACCCGCAGCTTGTTGACCTGGGACTCAGCAATGTCAGCTCTTTCCTCGGCCTCCTCCAGTTCATGCTGGAGCTTGCGGAATTTAGATAGATTTGTATTGGATTGTTCCTCCTGAGAATAAAAATGGAATTGTAAGGCACCCATACCAGGCATCTTTCTAGACTCTGTAGGCCTAAGGAAAGAAAGGACTTGCCATCTGCAGAAAAGTTAGAATACCCATCGGCAAACCTTATTGTCTTACCACCTTCTGAATTTTGCTTATCATTAAAATTAACTTTATGCTTTATTTGGGGCTTCGTGTCTCATAAATAATCGCAACTCTACTTTTGCAACCAAAAGGTGGAAAAAAAATATGTACTACAATTAGAGTAAGAAAAATATAAGAGCAGAGAAGAAGGCAAGGGTAAAATCATGCTTGTTAATGCTTGCTGGAAGATGACTATTTGCTTGAGTTAGACATTCTTTATCATTAGGATGAATTTCTTAATAGCTTCTTTATATTGAAATAAATGTTGAATTTTATCATATATCATTTTGGCACATTTCAGAACAATCACTTTTTTTCTCCTACTTTGGATGTAATGATTCTATTGACAGACTTCTTAATATTAAGTAATCCTTACTTTGTAGGAATTAAGGCTGTTTAATCACTGATGGACAGCCCCCTTAATATTTATTTATTCTTATTTGGTTGCACCGGGTCTTAGTTGCAGCAGGCGAGCTCCTTAGTTGTGGCATGTGAACTCTTAGTTGCGGCATGCATGTGAGATCTAGTTCCCTGACCAGGGATCAAACCCTGCATTGGGAGCACAGAGTCTTAACCAGTGGACTGTCAGAGAAGTCCTGACAGTCTCCTTAATAAAAGCAAGGGTTGCTATAACTATACTCATGAGTAAAACTGCCTTTAGTGTCTTCCCCCCTGTTCTCTTTTGGACAGGTTTTGATATGCAGGTTATGCAAGCTTCTTAAAATGATTTCGAAATCTTTTCATCTTTTCCCATGCTCTGGAATCAGGGATTATCTGTTCCTTGAAATTTTGAAAGACGTATCTGAGCCTGAGTCCATTTTCAGAAGTATTTCTGAAATAACTTATTCAGCCAACTTAATAATTTATATTCTCTTATTTCTTTAAGATTTTAACTGTCTTAACAGATTTATATTTTACATTTAAAAATAACCTTTCTACCGGTATGGTTTGTCCCATTTTTCATTTGTAATGTTGTGAGTTTGTATTTTCTCTCACTTTTTCCTTGACTAATCTAGTTATAAGTGTATTTATTTTATTAATTCCCTAGATGTTAGTGAGATTATCAAATTAGAAAATAGAATAATCTAATTCAATAATTTCTACCTTTATCTTTATCAACACCTCTTACTTTTGTTATTTTATTATTATTTATGATTTCTTTATTGGACTGTCAGTTTTCTTCATTTTTTAAAATTCTTGATTCATAATGAAAGCATATAAAGCAATGAATTGTCCTTCAAGGACAGCTTTGGTTACATTCTAGACTTATAAATTCTAGACTTCTTCCCTGAAATTTTATTTACAGTTAAAAATCATTCAGTAATTATGTTTTTATTTAATTTAATCCAAACATTTTTTAGGAAAGTTAGCTTTTTAACATTTAAGCGCTCAGAAATTTTTGTTTATATGTTCTCATTACTTTACAACTTTATCACACTGTGGCTAGAGAATGTGGCCTGTATTATTTCTGCTTTGAAATTTTTTGAGGTTTCTTTGTGGGTTGAATGTTAACTTTAAAAATCAATCGATTAATATTACAAATAGTAAGCAGTAAGTTAAAAAATGTGCAAATGTTTTTAAGAAGTACACAGTCTTCTATGAAGCAAACAGCTTATTTACGACAAGAAGTAAATAGTAAATCTAATTATTTATTTATTAGTTTTTCTTAAGAGAGGACTTCTCCCTTCCCTCTGTCTTAAGGATACTTACAGCCTCCTCAGCTTGTCTCTTGTAAGATTTCACTTTTGCCTGAAGTTTATCTACCAAGTCCTGAAGCCTGAGTATATTTTTCCGATCTTCTTCCGTCTGAAAGATGATAAAAACCACAGGGCCTTACTTCAAAAGCACATGACTGTTGTATCATCTCATGTGACTGTTTCCTGTATATGCAAGGAGTGCTTAGCTGGTAGAAACGGTTGCTGTACCTGGTAGGTGAGTTCCTTCACTCTCCTCTCATGTTTGCGCAGGCCCTTGACAGCTTCCCCACTACGCTTTTGCTCACTCTCAACCTCTCCTTCCAGCTCACGCACCTGCGAACGAGTAGGCTCTTAAGAACTTTGATCCAGTAAGGCATTGGGAACAAATGGAAATAGATAGATATTGAGAGACGCACCCTGGCCTCCAGCTTCTGGATCTGCTTCTTCCCGCCCTTCAGGGCCAGCTGCTCAGCCTCGTCCAGGCGGTGCTGCAGGTCCTTCACCGTCTGCTCCAGGTTCTTCTTCATGCGCTCCAGGTGGGCGCTGGTGTCCTGCTCCTTCTTCAGCTCCTCGGCCATCATGGCCGCCTGATTCCAGTAAAACAAAACCGGTAGAGAGAGCTGAGACAGCGCAGCAAGCTTCTAACTTGACCACCCCCGTGTGGCCCTCTGCTCACGTCCGTGATGGCCTTCTTGGCCTTCTCTTCTGCATTGCGAGCTTCTTGGATAATGTCCTCCATCTCTCCCTGGATTTGGGAGATGTCTGTCTCCAGCTTCTTCTTCGTGTTGATCAGGCTGGTGTTCTGGTTAAAATATCAAATTTAGAAATACTAAGTACATGAGAGCAAAATTACAATGTCCAATGTTCTAATGAACCCACAAACTAATTAATTAAGGTAACTAATTAGTATCCCTTCTTGTTCCATAAATTATCTGAGTTGACAGTATACTTTTACAAGACAGTCAACTCTGAATGTCACAGTTCATATAAACAAAAAGATTGTTAATCCAAAGATATTTTAAACTTTAACCTCCTTAAAACATCATGAATACATTTTTAGATAGTACTAAGATTTGAGCAAGAATTCCATTTTCAGTCCACTGTATTTTTTACTTTTATGTTATACTCACCTGAGTGTGCAGGAGCTGGACGCGCTCGCTGGCGTCCAGGAGCTCCTGCTCCGCCATCTTCCTGCTCCTCTCCGTCTGCTCCAGGGTGGCCCGCAGCTC